GTGACTGGTACAGTAACCTCCTTAACTAACCCGGACCCTAATGGTCGACTATCAAGGGCTCTGATGGGGAGTGGAATGGATAGGGGAACCAATGAAATGCCTTGATGGTGTGCAAATGCAGTGGCGGCTCCTGAAAAAATTCTCAGGGGGGGCAATTTTTCTGATGATTTAGGTGACCTACACACATTTTTAAAAAGATATGTCCAGCAACAACATGAAGACAGGGGCAGCATATAAGTCAATACCAGAAGCATTTATTGACTGATCTCAAAAGTGTTGGCTTACAAAATCAAAATAAGTTATCACAGTAAAAATAATCAAGGGTGTTCTTTCACATTCCTCAACACTGCATAAACAATATGCATTTCCATAAACAAATGAAATATCAGCTGAAAATACAGCATCTTGGTATTTGTTCAGATTGCAGGATCAACAAGAGCTTTTACCACATTTTTTGCCTCATGGTTGAATTGGAAATATGTGCACCTGAGCATAATTCACAACAAGCAAGCAGGAGCTTTTGATAGAGGCTACTGAAAACATTGATGCAAGTTATTGGTAATAAGACATTTTTATAGACTTCCATATTCTGCCCTCTTGTATAGATTTCTGAAAATGAACAGTGATAGACATTTTGCCTGAAAACAGAATTTGAAAGTAATTTCTAGAAAAGGTAAACACAGCTATCTGTATGGCTTTGTAAAAATGAACAACCATATTCTGGCCAATTGTATAGATTTGTAAATATGAACAACCATATTCTGGCCAATTGTATAGATTTGTAAAAATTAACATGAACAGATTTTTTTTTATTTTACTTTTTTTTAAATGAAAAATAACTATTTTAAACAACATCAACTGTGAACTGATTTGGGCGTGTGTGTGTTAAAGAGACAGACAGGGAGGGACAAAGAGAGAGAGAGGCTACATTACTTGTACTGAAACTGTTCTCTTCTCTGTTTCAATACAGCAAAGCGTTCAATGACTTTCTCATTGAAATCAGGCATGCTGAGGACTAGTTCCCTCTCCATGGAAAGCATGGCCAGTGCATTCAGACGTTCCTGGCCCATTGAATTTCGCAGGAATGTCTTAACTCGTGTCAAAGTTGAGAAACATCTCTCAGCTTCAGCTGTTGTCATGGGAGTAGTTATGAGGATGTTCAACAGAGTCACAGTCTCAGAGAACGTCTCCTGGAGGTTGTAGCTCATGAGAACCTGGTACAGTGCCAGTGCACCACAGCATCCCTTGAATTCAGGATTCTCATAGATCAGAGATAGTTCTGTCTTGAGCTTTGCCTTGCTCAGTATGGGGTATGCATTCACAGTGGCATTCAGAGCCTCATCAGGAAATGAATGGCAGTACCTTTCAAACATGTCTGCTTGCAGTAAGGTAGCACTCACAAGGTGGCCAGAGAAAGAGAACCTTTCTTTGGTGTGATCCAGGATGGTGTTGCAGACCTCTTCAGACAGCCTCTGCTTCTCCTCTTCTCTCAAAGCTGTTCTGGGTCTTTTGGCTCCTGTTGCTTCTTGCAGCTGCTGTTGAGAGGAGTCCCTGAAGGCAAACAGACCAATGTGTTTGTTGGCTTTGTACAGTATTGTTGTCTATGTGATGCACAGGTATATGCAATGTATCCATGTATAGTACAAATACTTCAGTTCCACTTAAAATGGGCAGGGATGCATAAAGTCTTTAGTGTTTAAGTTAGCCTTTGTGTCTCACATAGCCTGGATGTTCAGCACAGTATACAGTGGTGCTCATAAGCTTATGATCCCATGCTAAAGTTGACTAAAAAGAGGAATAAAAAAGAAAAGAAAATTGGTGTCCTTAAAGGTTGGATTTTCCAACTTTTTTAATTAAGTCATTAAGATCAATTTCCAAAAGATGATTTTTTTATTTTTTTATTCCTCTTTTTAGTCAACTTTAGAATGTGTTCATACACTTATGAGCACCACTGTACAGTACACATAGTATATAAAATAAGCTAGATTACACCACTGGCCATATATAATGAGAATAATGTAATTTCAAACACAAATGCAGTCTCCTTTCATGCATACATTTTCAAATAAAGCTCTGCTTTGAGAAAGATCGAATGATATTGTTTAATCTTACCTTATGGCCTGCACACTGCTTGTGAAGCTGTCGAGGGCACGTTTGATAAAGACAGCATCGATGTCCTTCTTCTGTAGCTTCTGGTACAGAATGTCGACGTGGGGCATGATTTTGTGAAAAAGCCGCAGGAAAAAAATAAAATCTTCATCATGTAGCATCCTCACGTAGCCAGATGCCTCTCTCACGGTGGGCTGGTCAAATGAACCCAATGAACCCGTCCGAATGGCTTCAAAACATTCTATGAGGTCGTCTCGATTCTCGTAGACAGTGTTCACGACTAGTCCACTGTCTACTGGGGAACTGGGGAACTACTATGTGATCGGGAAAGGAGATAGATAGGGTACAGTGCGCCGCAAAGGGCTCTGAACAAGTGTGGGTGTTCGATACCTGGGGTGATGCGTGAGTGAGGTGTATTGTCCCTTCGTGCCACCAGAGTGGCACTGTCGCTGTCCTCTTCCACTCTCTCGACCAGCGGCTCCACCCAGCTCCATCTGCTCTGGATCGAGTCATCCGTGGTGGGAATGGGCAGACCCCTACCAGGACGTCCTCTGGCTGCCAGTAGATTGTCCAGCCGGATGGCCATGTCCACCAGCTGGGAGAACGATAGCATGGCATCCCGGCAGGCTAGCTCCCGTCGGACGTCCTCCCATAGGTGTTACCAGAAATGGTCGATCAGGGCCCGCTCGTTCCACCCGGACCCCGCTGCCAGCGTCCGAAACTCCAGCGCGTAGTCCTGTGCGGTCCTCGTCCCCTGCCTCAGCTGGACCAGCCACTCGCCCGCCTCTCGACCCTCGGGCGGGGGATCGAAAACCGCCCGAAAGAGGCGAGCGCACTCCCTGTAGTCCTCCATCGCGGCTCCTCCTTTGTTCCACACCGCGCTGGCCCACTCCAGGGCTTTCCCACAGAGGCAGGAAACGAGGACGGATACCTTCTCCTGCTCCAATGGCGCCTGCCTGATGCTGGAGAAATACAGCTCCAGTTGGAGAAGGAATCCTTTACAGCGCGCTGCCATCCCATCAAACGCTGGTGGCCGGGATATCTGGATCCCTCCGGGTACTGGGGTGTAGGTGGCTGGATCCGGTTGGCCAGCTGGTCTCGACAGATCGGGTCCTCTCCTCTCCAGGCGTTGGATGACCTGAAGAACCTGATCCATCGCTTCCCCCAAGCTGGCCAGCATCGTGGAATGCTCCTGGACCCTTGCCACGACGCCAGGCATGCGGTCTTCTCCTACTGACTCCATATCAGCGGGTGAGTGATTCTGTGGTGAATGATGGATGGAGTCAGGCGCAATCGAAACAGGTACAGGGGAAACAATCCTCCCTGACCAAACACAATCTCAGAAAATACAATAAATGTAATGACACAGGGGAAAATCAACCCTGGCAAAATAAATGGAAGAGTATCTCAGCCGAGCAACTCTCCTCCCACATAGAACAATCACTCACAAAGACAAAGGGGCAGAGGGAACACTTATACACAGACTAATTAGGGGATGAGCACCAGGTGTGTGTGATTGACAAGACAAGACAAGACAAGTGGAGTGATGAGAATGGGAGCGGCAGTAGCTAGTAAGCCGGTGACGACGAACTCCGAAACCTGCCCAAACAAGGAGGGGAGGCAGCCTCGGCGGAAGTCGTGACAAGGCCTTTCTATACTCATTAAAGACCTGTGGTCCCATTTTTCTGATACAGTTGACATCTATCTGCAAGGGTGCCGGATAGGAAGGGAAAAGAGATCCCTTTCAAGTGTAAAATTAAATCTATGTAATGTCTGCTTTCCCTTGAAATTCATAACTGTGAAAATATCGAACATGTAAAATGACGTCTTCGTTTTAATGACGTCTTCGTTTTAATGACTAGTTGGCGATTACGAAACATGCAAGACTAGCTGATAAAAAAAGTCAATTCAATTGCCACTACATTATCAATTAAGAAAAATAATATTGAAGGAAGGAACTTCTAGACTGTTATACGGTATATGCAAAGTCTCTATCTGTATATTGCAGTTTCTAGTCTACTGGTGCCTTGAATGCCCCATAAACATTTGAATTAAAACAAACAAATCTAAGTGTCCTTACATTTTTGACATGAAAAACATAATACCGCCTGCCAAGTTCCATTGTCAGTATTAAGATCCTGGATCCCGGGTTACATAACTATTGGCGCTCATAATTGCAGTAAATTAATTACACGGGGGAGCATCTTCTCAGGATTGAGAGGAGTAATTTTCGAAGAACTTCAAAATACTGAGATACCTTCTGGCTCTGTGTGAGTCTTTGAAGTGTTTCTCACTCCCATCCAGAGCCTTAATATCTCTTTCATGTCACAGTCAGAGGCACCAGATTCAGCGGCAAACCTAAGTGCAAACCTGACCATTAATGTAATCAGAAAAGCATTAGAAAACTGATAACCTGGCAGAGTACTGACCAGAAACAGACAACTGACAACCAGTTAAGGCCCAGTTTTAGGCCTGTATATCATAAGTTAAATAACCCACAGAGTCTCTGTATGGAAGTGGGATAGCTTGTCAGATGAATTCTACTTTTCTTGCATTTGTGCTTTGGAGGAATATGAAAAGCTGTCATTAGATGTTTCAGATGTTTCAGAGAGAGAGAGAGTCTGGTGAAAGAGTATCCACATTACTTTACACTGATGCTGAACAAATTATGCAACCAGATATCTCTCTGGCTACAGTACCTCAAAGGTGACAAAGTAATCAACCAACAACATCTCACCGATGCACACGTAATCTATAGCTATACCATAGGGTGTTCAGTTCCCTGACGGTTTGGTCGGTACCTGATTAAACGTTATTAAATATTTGAACTTTTGTTGCAAAATCCATACCAGCCTCATTTTGCAACGTCATGCACAGTCTGACTTGATTTTTTAGGAGCGGCAGGCAGGCGGTGGCGCCTGGAAGGAACTACTGCCTGCCCCTGAGGAGTACTTGACTATTATTGTTACCACCATTACATTTCCCCACAGACATCTTTCATTGCCAGCCTCATCACCCAAGCCGGGGTCAGCTAATCCCTACCATTGTGACGCAGAGTTGTCAAAATGCTTCAGCAAATGTACATTACATCAGGGTCGTCGGTAGACACAATAAAAGTAACCTAATTTATGTCCCTCTAACTGCCCTGAATGCCTCTGCTGAATCTACAGCTATTGTGTGCTGTGACGAGGTGTGAATGAAGGACTCAGGCGCAGGAGGTAAAACACCGAAGTCCAGAGTTTATTCCGTTCACATAAATAAAACGCACCCAGTGTCAAAACGAAACTATCACAAGGGAAATATTCCACCTTGGCAATAACAAATGGAAGAGTAGCTCAACCGAGCTACTCGCTCTCACAATGAAACAATCACTCACAAAGACAAGGGGAACAGAGGGAACACTTATACACATTCTAATTAGGGGAATGAGCACCAGGTGTGTGTGATTGACAAGACAAGACATGACAAGTGGAGTGATGAGAATGGGATCGACAGTAGCTAGTAAGCCGGTGACGACGAACGCCGAAACCTGCCCGAACAAGGAGGGGAGGCAGCCTCGGCGGAAGTCGTGACATGTGCAGTAATCATGTGCCTAAGAACCAGATTTATACTGTTAGCACTGAGCCGGTGTGCAGCTCACCCTGAACTAACATAAAGAACATGAGCACATCTACTGCTGCTAAGCTTCCCAGTAAAGCAATAAAAACAAGTAAGCATCCCAGAAGAAAAGTGCTCAAAATAGCCCACATTAACATATGTAGCTTAAGAGACAAGGTTCATCAAATCAATAATTTGCTAGTAACAGATGACATTTATATTCTGACTATCTCTGAAACTCACTTAGATAATACCTTTGATGATACAGTGGTAGCAATACAAGGTTATAACATTTACAGAAAATATAGAAATGCCAATGGTGGCGGTGTTGCTGTTAATATTCAGAACCACATTCCTGTGAAGATTAGAGAGGATCTCATGTTAAATACTGTTGAAGTAATATGGCTACAGGTTCATCTGCCTCACCTAAAGCCCATTCTGGTGGGAAGCTGCTATAGACCACCAAGTGCTAACAGTCAGTATCTGGATAACATGTGTGAAATGCTTGATAATGTATGTGATATCAATAGAGAGGTATACTTTCTGGGTGATTTAAATATTGACTGACTTTCATCAGGCTGCCCACTCAAGAGAAAGCTTCAAACTGTAACCAGTGCCTGCAACCTGGTTCAGGTTATCAGTCAACCTACCCGGGTGGTTACAAACAGTACAGGAATTAAATCATCAACACGTATTGATCATATCTTTACTAATGCTGCAGAGATTTGTTTGAAAGCAGTATCCAAATCCATTGGATGTAGTGATCACAATATAGTAGCCATATCTAGGAAAACCAAAGTTCCAAAGGCTGGGACTAATATTGTGTATAAGAGGTCATACAATAAGTTTTGTAGTGATTCCTATGTTGTTGATGTAAAGAATACAGTGGCTTGCAAAATTCTTCACCACCCTTGGCATTTTTCCTATTTTGTTAGCTTACAACCTGGAATTAAAATTGATTTTTGGGGGGTTTGTATCATTTGATTTACACAACATGCCTACCACTTTGAAGATGCAAAATATTATTTTGTGTGAAACAAACAAGAAATAAGACAAAAAAAACAGAAAACTTGAGCGTGCATAACTATTCACCCCCCCAAACTCAATACTTTGTAGAGCCACCTTTTGCAGCAATTACAGCTGCAAGTCTCTTGGGGTATGTCTCTATAAGCTTGGCACATCCAGCCACTGGGATCTTTGACCATTCTTCAAGGCAAAACTGCTCCAGCTCCTTCAAGTTGGATGGGTTCCGCTGGTGTACAGCAATGTTTAAGTCATACCACAGATTCTCAATATTGTGTATAAGAAGTCATACAAAAGTTTTGTAGTGATTCCTATGTTGTTGATGTAAATAATATATGTTGGTCCGTGGTGTGTAATGAGGAGCAAACAGACACTGCACTTGACACATTTATGAAATTGCTTATTCCAGTTACTAAAAAGCATGCACCCATTAAGAAAATGATTGTAAAAACTGTTAAATCCCCGTGGATTGATGAGGAATTGAAAAATTGTATGTCTGAGAGGGATGAGGCAAAAGGAATGGCAAATAAGTCTGGCTGCACAACCGATTGGCAAACGTATTGCAAATTGAGAAATCATGTGACTAAACTGAATAAAAAGAAGAAGAAACTACACTATGAAACAAGGATAAATTATATAAAGAATGTTAGTAAAAAGCTTTGGCGCACCTTAAATGAAATTTTGGGAAAAAACTCAGCTCCATCATTCATTGAATCAGATGGCTCATTCATCACAAAACCAACTGATATTGCCAACTACTATAATACTTTTTTCATTGGCAAGATTAGCAAATTTAGGCATGACATGCCAACAACAATGGCTGACACTACACATCCAAGTATAACTGACCAAATTATGAAAGACAAGTATTGTAATTTTGAATTCCGTAAAGTGAGTGTGGAAGAGGTGAAACAATTATTGTTGTCTATTAACAATGACAAGCCACCGGGGTCTGACAACTTGGATGGAAAATTGCTGAGGATAATAGCGGACGATATTGCCACTCCTTTTTGCCATATTTTCAATTTAAGCCTACTAGAATGTGTGTGCCCCCAGGTTTGGAGGGAACCAAACGTCTAGTATAGCCCCCTTTACTGGCTCAAATAGCCGATCAATTAGCCTGTTACCAACCCTTAGTAAACTATTGGAAAAAATTGCGTTTGACCAAATATAATGCTATTTTACAGTAAACAAATTGACAACAAACTTTCAGCATGCTTATAGAGAAGGACATTCAACAAGCACAGCACTTACACAAATGACTGATGATTGGCTGAGAGAAATTGAGGATAAAAATATTGTGGGGGCTGTTTCATTAGACTTCAGTGCGTATTTTGACATTATCAATCATGGTCTGCTGCTGGAAAAATGTATGTGTTATGGCTTTACACCCCCTGCTATAATGTGGATAAAGAGTTACTTGTCTAACAGAACACAGAGGGTGTTCTTTAATGGAAGCCTCTCAAACATAATCCAGGTAGAATCAGGAATTTCCCAGGGCAGCTGTCTAGGCCCCTTCTTATTTTCATCTTTACTAACGACATGCCACTGGCTTTGAGTAAAGCCAGTGTGTCTATGTATGCGGATGACTCAACACTGTACACGTCAGATACTACAGCAACTGAAATAACTGCAACACTTAACAAAGAGTTGCAGTTAGTTTCGGAATGGGTGGCAATGAATATGTTAGTCCTGAATATTTCCAAAACTAAAAGCATTGTATTTGGGTCAAATTATTCACTAAACCCTAAACTTCAACTACATCTCGTAATGAATAATGTTGAAATTGAGCAAGTTGAGGTGACTAAACTGCTTGGAGTAACCCTGGATTGTAGACTGTCATGGTCAAAGCATATTGATACAACAGTAGCTAAGATGGGGAGAAGTATGTCCATAATTAAGCGCTGCTCTGCCTTCTTAACAACTCTAGCAACAAGGCAAGTCCTACAGGCCCTAGTTTTGTCGCACCTAGACTACAGTTCATGAGAGTGGTCAGGTGCCACAAAGAGGGATTTGGGAAAATTGCAGTTGGCTCAGAACAGGGCAGCATGGCTGGCCCTTAAAAGTACACGGAGAGCTAACATTAATGATGTGCATGTCAGTCTTTCCTGGCTCAGAGTGGAAGAGAGATTGACTTCGTCACTGCTTGTTTTTGTAAGAGGTGTTGACAAGCTGAATGTACTGAGCTGTCTGTTTGGAATTCTGGCACACAGCTCGGACTCCCATGCATACCCCACAAAACATGCCACCAGAGGTCTCTTCACAGTCCCCAAGTACAGAACAGACTATGGGAGGCGCACAGTACTACATAGAGCCATGACTACATGGAACTCTATTCCACATCAGGTAACTGATGCAAGCAGTAGAATTAGATTTAAAAAACAGGTAAAAATACACCTTATGGAACAACGGGGACTGTGAAGAGACACACACAAGGGTATAGACACATGCATATGCACACGTTGTGATATTGTTGTATTGTGGTATTAAACATTTTGTATTGTAGATAGGTAGTGGTGTAATAATGTCATATAATGTACTGTTTTATATTTCGTTTTATATGTAATGTAAGTGGTTTAATATGTTCAGACCCCAGGAAGAGTAGCTGCTGCCTTGGCAGCTAATGGGGATCCCTAATAAATAAAAATACAAATGATGGGATGTCTGTCCATTTTTAGAGGCTCTAACCTCTTGGGCTGCTGCTGCTCAGGCTGTCCTGAAGGCAAGACAAGAATACAAATCGTATACAGTACTGTACTTATGTGTACAATATCTAGGCCTAACTCCAATTACTGGGCCAGATATGTTAGAGAGCTGCTGCTGTTGATAGCCTGATAGCCTGATGCCATGCTGATCCTCAACACGGGGGCCCCTCGGGGGTGCGTGCTCAGTCCCCTCCTGTACTCACTGTGCACCCATGACTGCATGGCCAGGCACGACTCCAACACCATCATTATGTTTGCAGACGACACAACAGTGGTAGGCCTGATCACCGACAACGATGAGACAGCCTATAGGGAGGAGGTCAGGGGTTCGTTTCCCACGGGGGGCCAGTATGAAAATGTATGCACTCACTAACTGTAAGTCGCTCTGGATAAGAGCGTCTGCTAAATTACTAAAATGTAAATGTAAATGTCAGAGACCTGGCCATGTGGTGCCAGGATAACAACCTCTCCCTCAACGTGATCAAGACAAAGGAGATGATTGTGGACTACAGGAGAAAAAAAAAAGAGGACTGAGCATGCCCCCATTCTCATCGATGGGGCTGTAGTGGAACAGGTTGAGAGCTTCAAGTTTCTTGGTGTCCACATCACCAACAAACTGTCATGGTCCAAACACACCAAGACAGTCGTGAAGAGGGCACAACAAAGCCTATTCCCCCTCAGGAGACTGAAAAGATTTGGTATGGGTCCTCAGATCCTCAAAAAGTTCTACAGCTGCACCATCGACAGCATCCTGACTGGTTGCATCACCGCCTGGTATGTCAACTGCTCGGCCTCCAACCGCAAGGCACTACAGAGGGTAGTGTGTACGGCCCGGAGGAAGGCCCTAAAAATTGTCAAAGACTCCAGCCACCCTAGTCATAGACTGTACGCTCTGCTATCGCACGGCAAGCGGTACAGGAGCGCCAAGTCTAGGTCCAAAAGGCTTCTTAACAGCTTCTACCCCCAAGCCATAAGACTCCTGAACAGCTAATCATGGCTACCCGGACTATTTGCACTCCCCCCCACCCCACCCCATCCCCCTCTTTTACGCTGCTGCTACTCTGTTTATTATCTATGCATAGTCACTTTAACTCTACCCACATGTACATGTTACCTCAATTACCTCGACTAGACGGTGCACCCGCACATTGACTCTGTACCGGTACCCCTCCCTACTTTTATTTTATTTTACTGCTGCTCTTCAGTTATTTGCTTTTATTTTTTACTTATCTATTTTTTACTTAAAAAACTACATTGTTGGTTAAGGGCTTGTAAGTAAGCATTTCACTGTAATGTCTACACCTGTTGTATTCGGCGCATGTGGCAAATACAATTTGATTTGAGTTGATGTTCCAAGATGTTATGATGAGTTTCTCGGGTATCAAAGAATCAAGGATGCAAGGATATACTTAGACATTCTGTGGAGATTTCATAACAAGTATTTATTGAATCACGAGCTCGTGGGTTCATCTAACAAACGGACATGGCTTTGCCCTTCGTCAGTTGAACTAACTTAACAAAGAAGACACTCTATCTTATATAGCCTTTATTACCATCTTCCTGGCATACATCTGGCAAGTCTCCATGGGCACTCCCTGTCTTTGATGTTCATCACTCTTTACCCCAAGTCACTATCCTAAACATCACTCATGCTATCCTAAACATCACTAATCTACCTTGACATAATGGAATGTAGACTTCATGGCCCCAAACCACTCATCTCTTAACTCTTCCTCTGTCCTCACACTACTATGGCATGACATCATTATACCATAAAAACATCATATCACAAGAGGAGTAAAAAGCCTCAGTAACAATTACTGAAACTCCTTACTTCAACAAAAACCGGGTAAAAACAAGACTCCCCTGAGAGTGGCTTGCTATTAACACTCATTTCTATAGTGTGTGTGTGTGTTATCTACTTTGGTTTAACTGGTCCAGGTATGGGAGGAACATGAAGGCAGGAGACCACATATTGCATCTCTTGTCTGCTCCCTGCTCCCTGGGGTAGACACAAACATTGACAATCCAATAACACTACCATCATGTTAAGGCGTTCATGTTATGATAAAATAGACCAGGGAAAAAAAATCACCAAAAAAAATCTGAACTTATCACGAGGGGCCGCAGTTGCTTGTGGGTCTGCGTACCCAAATGTGCATACCCAAATGTGCGTACCCAAATGTCTGCGTACCCAAATGTGTGTTTTGAAGCTGGTGTTCAAAACCAAATGTAAAAGACGCAAAAACTAAACTTAAGAACGGGATGCATAGAAATGTCTATGTGAATTTAGTATGGAGGGGTGTAGCTCAGTTGGTAGAGCATGGCGTTTGCAACGCCAGGGTTGTGGGTTCATTTCCCACGGGGGGCCAGTATGAAAAAAAAAAAGTAATAATAATAATAATAATAATGTATGCACTCACTAACTGTAAGTCGCTCTGGATAAGAGCGTCTGCTAAATGACTAAAATGTAAATGTAAAAAATTAATTTGGTCCGGTCGCCCTAAAAGTTAGATTTTGCAGCTTTAAAGCAACTTTGCTGCAATTCTACTTATTTTGCCATGGGTCGAAGAAGAAAATGTGCTGTTTTACAGCTAATTTCCTGCAATTCTACACATTTTTCCATAGGGTGCAGAGAAATGTTTGCAGGTTTTAATAAGATATCTGAGTGAGACTGACTAACAGTAGCGGTGTGTGGGTAAAATCACTGGGGAAGCCAAGCCAGAAAAAAATGCCATATTTCAACCTTTTTGTTCTGATAATTGCGTTGTTTGGTCTATAACCTGTTAATTCATATGTCTTGCCACCGTGATATATAGGCTTAAAGGCAGAGACAATGAGAAGACACAGTGGTAGAATAAATTACACCACACCTTTGTTTCATCACAATACCGGAGAGCAACATCTGTCTGGTGAAGTCCACAAAGCATATTGCATGTAACAAACAGTTACATGACCTACAGCATGGTCAAGCAAGTTAATGTTTCCAAAAATGTTTGACTACAAAACAACCATTGATTTAGAACCATGGAGAGTTACCGCAAGTCGAAAAAGAACACAATTTCAACTTCAACATCACCAAATCACCTATGTGTAGTCTAATACAGTGACAACTAAAAGATACCAAAAATGATTTAGTCCAATCAACATAAGCTAAATATGATGTGGCTGTCCATGGTACTGATTTGTGTGTGTGAGTGTGTGTGTGTGTATGTGTGTGTGTGCGCGTGTGTGTGTGTGCGTGCATGCATGCATGCAAGTAAAATAAAACATGTTGACTTACCCTACTTGTAGAGAAACACCAATGACATCCTCCTCTCTTTCATGTTGACGAAACGGTCTATGACTGTAATTCAGCACACACATATTTTTTGTTGTCCTAGGCTACCTGGCTAAAATGCTTGCTAGCTAGATTAACTTCCTTTCATGGGCAACGATGCACCAGGCCAGCTAGTTACCATTAGCCTACTACATCTAGCTAGCTACATTGAACTTCCATCCTCTCAGGCCAGGGGCACAATATAATAATTTATGGTTGGATCAGAATCGCCTTTATAATCATTGGCCAGTATGGAGAAATAAGAAATAAGTAAGTCCAACTCCCTATCTCCATCCATGGCTAATTTAAGAAAGGGACGATTTTAACTAGCTAGCTAGCCACCGGAGGACAACAACACAACGAGATGTAAATTAAGTTTTGCTTTTGATGTGATGTGATTGGTGTGAAGCAAAATCCAAACTGGCTTCCCTTGACACAGTTTATTTGGTGCGCCAATTGAGCTCACTCAGTTTAGCTCAATGCTGGCTATTATTTTATTTTAAAAAATATCAAGGGAGGCCAAATGCTCACTGGCTTCCCTTGCATTCAATTCTACAGGCGGCAACAATGTCATACTCTTTTTGACCAGACAGCATCAGATAGATGAGCTACACATACAGAGACAGAGGGGTGCTGTTTCCCTCACTCGGATGCTTTCTCTGGTGAGATGCATTCAGCCTCTTGTGAATTGAAGGAAAATTATGAAACGCAGAGAGATGAAAGATAAATTATTTTATATGTTTTTTTCTTTTTTTCTTGTAAAATGTTTCGGGGAAGCCTGGCTTCCCTTGGCATCCATGAATACACACCACTGCTGACTAACAAAATCAATGGGGGCCCCCCGATCGGTAATTCGACCATGATTACTAAGTTTAGATAGCAGGCCACTAGACTAACTTAACAATTTTTAAAAATGCAGCTGACATCGGATAATTGAGTGACTGACATAACAAGAGAAAAACTGCTGATGCACAACCAAATTTCGAAATTGCACCTTGTGTATTCTACTATTCTAACTTCTTGTTAGGGTTACATCAATTAGCTTGTTTTCTGAGACGTCTTTATGCAAGACAGTTAACTAAAGAGTGAAGTATCGGACCAAGGTCTTTTGCTCAATTACAAATCACACCAACCTTTGTGCTTGACTGAAGAGTACATGGACTTCTCTCCCTCTGTGCCGTGATGGCTGCATTCAAGAGACACCTCCTGCTCACAGTCAAGGCCCCCAGCGGTACATGTACTTTCCGGTTCTGCTTGATATGTTTTCAGACCTTGGTCATCATCTCCCAGTGATGTGCCTCTGCTTGGTTCCTCTTCCACTGCATCCTGGCTGCTTGGACGGTCACTACTGCTTTGTCTAGAAGATGAGAGATGAGATGAGATAATACTTTATTAATCCCCAGGGGTAAATGAGTAATAAACACAATAGAAACACTCAAATCATTAAAGCAGTGTTGTCCTCAGCTCCAGGATCCCTAACGCTGCACAGCGCAGATTAATTATCACCTGGCCCGTCACTGATCTTGAAATACAAGCTGAGCTCTTCCATGACCATGTAGAACCTCTCCTTCATTCATTTCAAACTCTGGGAAGTCATGGGTTTCAGAGACTGGATGGATGTTGTTGTCAGAGGTGAAAGTGGGGAGTTTTGCCTGAGGGGGAGAATCAAACTGGTAAATTCCATAGAGAAGAGTATAAGTCTGGCCAGGCTTTTCTGAACTCACTGATGGAATGGAGAGCTGGGGTGAGATAAAGTCGGGGACAGGGACTTCATTAAACCAGGTTTTTCCACAGTTGAAAAATCCCCCCTCAGCTTTCTCTTGGCCTTGGTCCTCTACTTCCTCTGATAAGTCCTTGTTAACACTCTCCTGAGGGCATGGTGCTACCAACACTGTGAAGATGGAACACAGTTTGAAACGCTTGACAGGGCGAGCTGCTGAGGAGAGGGCTGTGCTCCAGGCTATTGATGTCAAGGGGAGAGAGCTGGATCTTTTCAAATGTTTCAAACGTAACAGGCACACAGTTAAACAGGATATGTGCCACAGATGGCATGACTGAGGCTGATCGGTCCTCCTCTCAGTCCCATACTGTGTCATCCTCTGGGTTTGAATCTGATCCTGGGACAACAGGATCGTTGGGTACTGAGGATAAAGGGACCACATGATGGTTTTCAATCTTGAGTAGTGCTTCTGTTCTGTTACTTGGCAGCCTTCAAGAGAACAGCTCCAGATGTGGCTTCTACAGAAAGGTGGAGTGTTTGTAGGTAGGTTGTCAATTTTCTCCTTCAGCCCAGTTGTTGATCCACTCACCAGTCATTGCTCCTATGACACCTGTGTTTACCATGTCACTTTGAGGTATCATTCCAAGTTCCTGGTTCTCTGAATCAATATGCAAGTCAGTTTCTGTAACATTGTCACCATTTTCCACCGTTATCCCATCCAGAACTGCTCACTCAAATGGAAAAATAACAGTGCCATGTGTCTTTAGGTAGTCTTGATTGGTAGGAACCTGGCCAGCTGGATCCCATTCCTCACACACGTGTTTTACTGTGTCGGAACTTGTTTCACTTCCCTCTTCAGCATCAGAACTCTCTTCAAGGCCAGGAGTGCTGCTGAGAAATGGCTCCCAATGATGGATTCCCCTCGCTGTTCCACCGATAACTGACAGGTGTCCTCATATTCACCTTTGAGTTGGATTCCATTTTGAGCATCAAAATGACGAGAGCTCCAACGTAGCATTCCTGACATATTCCGTGGGCCTCAGGGGGAAATATTTTGGTTGTGGTGGGTGGAGAGGAGACGTACTCTCTTCAACAGGTTGAGATGATCCAATATCTGCAGTCCTATCAGAGGTTTCTAGATCCAATCTGTCAACGTCACGGCAAACTGCATGTTCGTTACACTTGCTATCTCGTTGCGATCAACATCAGCTGTCTCTTGACTGAGGACAGTTGACACTGGCAGTTTGTGTTGTGTTGTAATAATCACCTAGTTCACACAAAGTTTCAGCTGTCACCGTGCCAACAGCGTGCCCCCACATCGCTTCACAGAGATCATTGTGCTTCAGACCCATATTGATCTCAGTCCCATCACTCAGCATAGTACTGTCTAATACCGCATAACAACGGTCAACGGAGCCATCTACATATTCACTACTGACTCAGCTGTGGCAGAGTTGTCATTATGCATGCAGTCCTCCTTGTTAGCTTGGGCGTTTCCTTCTCTATCACAGACATTTTCTATCACATCATTCTCCAAATCTGGCTACATTTCCCTCATTTTTTCCCACTCCTTGTAAAGACAACTCTGTAATCACTGGGTAATGAATATTTCCTGGCATTTTTCTCATTGCTGAGACTGTGATTGAATCCATGTTCTTCCTCATTCTGAATCTGATGATTGTTTTCAAATTCAGCAGATATTATACTGAAGCTATGCTGTAAATGGCTGAATTCAGAGCCAGACTTTCACAGGTGTTATCAGGTTCTTTAGCGCTGTCACTCACACTTGAGCTGTGGTCAGTTACTGGGATGTGGCTGTCACCATTTTGTTCTGTCACTGCTGCGTTATCTACCTAGGGACTAGTACCGGTTAGAGTGCATTCGAGTGATTTCCCAGGCTGATTGAAACCATGACTTGAGGATGTATCAGTTGTTGTGTCATCAGAAGACTGTACTGACGCACTCCCTGCTTCATCTCTAGGGTGAAAGCTGTAAGAAGACGTGCCTGTTTGACTAAGTGGATGCTGCTCATCTTCCCCTTGACGTAGGCCTTGAGCGTCTACTTCTGTAATTTGAGGACTGACTACACACAACCCTGCACTTGTCTGATCATCTCTGAGAGCTTTACTCTCCTCTGTTCCCATTTCTTCACAATTAAATCCTGTCAATGTGTATTTGACATATGTGTGTATTTGACATATTGAACTCCATATGTTTTATCCTCCTGAAGAATAGGTATATTCTGTAGTGACGTGAAACCGGCAATGTTCTGGAAACTCAACAGTTGTGGGAACCCGAAATGGGTTTTGCCACTGTGTTTGTTTGTTATTGTGCAATCTGTCCGTGGTCGTTTAGGAGACAAAGGAGCATCATCTTCCTCAAACGGAAAACAACTATCTTGTGTGTGTTTATCCATTCCTTTTTTCATCCACTAAACCTAAAGCGAAGACAGATTTACTGTCAGCCTAAGTTTTAATTCTGAGAATATACATTGAATAAGTCTATGAAGTGTGTTTGGCATATCAAAGATGCATTTCATTTGAGAATCAAACATCAATAGACTGACTAATGATTTAATGATTTAAAAGCAAAGGGAATCTTTTGTAGCTTCTTATTTCAATATGGTTGATAAATTACATATAGGCTTACAGCAAGTGCAATAACATAGGCCAGTAAAATGGAATACAACATTACTGTATGCTTTGATAGCAACTGTATACTTTCAGCATTTACAAGCGCCTGCTGAGCATGTACGCACCCTGTAAATCCATCAAAGCAGGTATTCATTCCTGTTTCTAACCTTTCAGTGAAACCAAATCTCAAACAGATGAAAGGTACTCTAACCATAAACCTTCAAAGCAAAAACATACATAATCTTCAGTTAGTGAATGTAATACTGTAACACTGAATCAACAAATGGTTCATATACATAATATATGTTTCCATAACATTACAGCAGGTGAGGAACTATGCTTTCCATTCTTGCTTGTTTTATTGAGGTGCACAAGCTATCTAGAATCCACTCAACTTGGCTCCAAAAACGTAAACTGAACAAAAATATGAACGCAACATGTAAAGTGTTGGTCCCATGTTTCATGAGCTAAAATAAAAGATCCCAGAATTTTCCCATACGCACAAAAAGTGTATTTCTCTCAAATGTTGGGCACAAATGTGTTTACATCACTGTTAGTGAGCATTTCTCCTTTGCCAAGATAATCCATCCACCTGACAGGTGTGTCATATCAAGAAGCTGATTAAATACCATGATCATTACACATGTGCAACTTGTGCAGGGGACAATAAAAGGCCACTCTAAAATCTGCAGTTTTGTCACATAACACAATGCCACGGATGTCTCAAGTTTTGAGGGAGCGTGCAATTGGCATGCTGACTGCAGGAATGTCCACCAGAACTGTTGCCAGAGAATTGAATGTTAATTTCTCTACCATAAGCCGCCTCCAATGTTGTTTTAGAGAATTTGGCAGTATGTCCATCCGGCCTCACAACCGCAAACAACGTGAAACCACAACAGCCCAGGACCTCCACATTCGACTTCTTCACCTGCGGGATTGTCTGAGACCAGCCACCCGGACAGCTGATGAAACTATGGGTTTGCACAACCAAATAATTTCTGCACAAACTGTCAGAAACCGTCTCAGGGAAGCTCATCTGCGTGCTTGTCGTCTTCACCAGGGTCTTGACCTGACTGCAGTTCGGCGTCGTAACCGACTTCAGTGGGCAAATGCTTACCTTCGATGGCCACTGGCATGCTGGAGAAGTGTCCTCTTCACGGATGAATCCCGTATGGCGTTGTGTGGGCGAGCGGTTTGCTGATGTCAACGTTGTGAACAGAGTGCCTCATGGTGGCGGTGGGGTTATGGTATGGACAGGCATAAGCTATGGACAATGAACACAATTGCATTTTATTTATGGCAATTTAATGCACAGAGATACCGTGACGAGATCCTGAGGCCAATTGTCGTGCTATTCATCCACCGCTATCACTTCATGTTTCAGCATGATAATGCACGGCCCCATTTCACAAGGATCTGTACATAATTCCTGGAAGCTGAAAATGTCCCAGTTTTTACATAGCCTGCATACTCACCAGACATGTCACCTATTGAGCATGTTTGGGATGCTCTGGATCGATATGTACGACAGCGTATTCCAGTTCCTGCCAATATCCAGCAACTTCACACAGCCATTGAAGTGGAGTGGGACAACATCCCACAGGCCACAATCAACAGCCTGATCAACTCTGCGCGAAGGAGATGTCGCGCTGCATGAGGCAAATGGTGGTTACACCAGATACTGACTTGTTTTCTGATCCACGCCCCTACTTTTTTTTTTAAGGTATCTGTGACCAACAGATACAGATCTGCATTCTCAGTCATGTGAAATCCATCGATTAGGGCCTAATTAATTTATTTCAATTTACTAATTTCCTTATATGAATTGTAAATCTTTGAAATTGTTGCATGTAGCATTTATATTTTTGTTCAGTGTAGCTAGGAGATAGCTAACAGTATAGAACCAAAGATATACCCAGCTAACAACAAACGTTCACACAAATTTCGAGAACGTTCCCTTAAGAGTTTCATAAGGTCATTACCTAATGTTTTCATAGGAATGTTCCAGTGATGTGCAAAGACTGTTTCCAAGAGACCATTCCCTTGATGTCAGACAGAACTTACCCAGAACATAGTCTCAGTCGATATTCACATAATAATAATGAATTCCCCTCAACCACGCCCACAAATTGGGGAAAACTAACATTCATTGCCATTGACCCCATTGATTTTTTTATACAGAAATAACAAAACATGCCAAAACGCTGCTGTGTTATTCAATGAACATGTAGCCAGGTCAAAAATCCCGACTTATGGTTCGCAATGCTCACACGTAGGGAAATAGGGCCTGCGAGAACAGTCCTGTGGCTTCAGGCTATTTGGTGTGGGAGAGTGGGTAATGTGGGGATGCGGTGTCCAAGTAGGCTACACATAGCTATGTGTTTGGAAAACATTTCATCACAGGTAAAGACATTGAAGTTCTATTGTAGGCTACTTCGGGTTTATACAGGAGCATGTGCTTAATATGAGCAACTGAGAAATAAATATAAGAACACTTATTTCACTCCACTCATCAAACACTGTTTCAGGAGCATGCTCTTGCTGCCTGACAGGTGATATTCCACCTGCCTGACAGGTGATATTCCGCATGCCAGCAAAGCCACTACACAACACAACACACCACTAAACAATACATTAATTGCACTATAAGGGTGACAAACGGTGCCCACAAACTGTTAGGGTCTACATAAAGCTGTCCTAACAGCAGAGTCCCAACAGCAGTCCCAACACCTTCCCACTGCTACACCTGGCAATCAGCAGAGCCTTGTCTGGCAGCAAAATAGTTCATTCAGCCTCATTTACTGCCTTTTTAAAAAAACATAGCTGATATGGCTGACTTGCTTAAACAAATGTGGTTTCTACTGACAGTTGTGATGTACAAACTTTGGCATAAGGGGACGACAAGCGAATAAGAGGCAATCCGTAATTTTCGATGAAGACATTAATGAGCGAGCTAGGATGGACGGTCAAAATAACTATTTGTTCAGCACTTTTGAAATGTACAGCGACAGAATTCAGAACATGGGCAGTTCTTACAGTGTTCTCCCTGTACACCAAGTCAGAACCGTAGGATACATAAAGGGGGCATATAAGCAGACAATGAAAGCTCTTACAATATTCTATGATTACATTTCTCTAAAACAGGTTATAGGCTACATGAGCACCACCAAGTCAGAACAGTAGGCGAAATTAAGAAGGGTAAATAGACCAAATTATTAGGGTGAGGCACATGGGCTACTAACAGCTTACTACACAACATACACTTAGGATTACTTTCTTAGCTACAGTATACATATCTCCCTGGCATATTACATCATTTATGCAGCAGCATACAATACATTTTTGGACTCACCTTGTTGTGCTGTGCTCACTTCGTGGGCAAATTTTGTCATCAAACTTGGTGCGTTCAAGGCAGCTGGGAACTCTGAAAAAAACAAGGTTGAATCATAATGACATCAGTAATCTTCAGGTCGTAGCTCTAGAAAGAGGCCCGAGTTCCCAACTTACAATTCCGAGTTGGATGACCATTCAAAACTTATTTTGCCAGTCGGAGCTCGTTTTTTTCCCAAGTTCCCAGTTGTGTTGAACTCACTGAAGTCAGATTTCCCAGTTCCGAGTTAACAGTTGTTTTGAGCTTGGCAGAAATCATGCTGGATTGACAGCATGGCCAATGTTGAATGTTTATCATTTTAAGCTTGGATAAGAGACCCTTAAACCAAGAATTGGGACCACATACACACTCCACTGAATAGCAGGCCAGTGATTGCTTTGCAATGCTTGCAGTTAGCCACTGATTCCTTCGAAACCACTCATTGTTGAATTTGCGATTTCCAACTTGTTTTGTAATGTTTATGTCCAATGGCCGATGAGCACCGATACGTTTTATCTATCATTTCTCGTCATTATTTTTCTTCATATGACAAGGATTAAAAAGGATTTGCCAGTAGATCGTCGACTTGATTCATAATGATGACTGCCAGCTAAGATTTTGAAAGTATGATGTTGACATGATCAGTCCAATGAAAGCTACTGTAGATTTAACGCGATTTGAGGTCATTTTACCTGTGACCAATGACCTTGAGCCTTCTTGGATGGGCACTTCTAATGTAACTCTATGGCAGCACCCAAGGGGATAGAATTTTCGAGCTCTACCCTTAGATTTGGCAGCGACGTAGTGTCCCCATGAGTGACAGAACACTGAGCCAATCACGGCACAACTAGAGAAGATTACCAACCCCTACGCTCTGTGTTTTCCACTGGCTTCTCCACCACTACAGAAAGCACTGAGCTAGGCTGAAACACCTGCATTTTGGAGCTGCTTTATTCAAGAAAGCAAAAAAGAGACCATGTTTGTATGGAGGCTTTATTAACTCAATGATTTACAGTGGCTTGCGAAAGTATTCACCCCCCTTGGCATTTTTCCTATTTTGTTGCCTTACAACCTGGAATTAAAATGGATTTTGGGGGGGTTTGTATCATTTGATTTACACAACAGGCCTACCACTTTTAAG